TTATATTGTCATGGCCAGATTGATTTTGTCTTCAGGAGATCTACGGTGGCCCAATTCCAATGTGGGTCAGAAGTTTTCAGAGTTTCTCCTTAGGTCTGGAATCTTCTAAGGATGATTTTGGCCTCAGGAACTTGGGTGTTGGACTGACCCGAGATCCCGGCTGTGGCCGTGCCATGCAGGGATGCAAAGGCAGATGGGGAGGGAAGAAGCCCCAAGATTTCCCAGGGAGTGGATTGAGTAGCTGGGTTGTACTGGATGCAAAGGATCAGGGAGAGTAAAGGTAAGCCTCGGAGCCCCAGAAAGAGTCTGTCAGCCCCAGAAAGAGGCTAGTGAGTGTTGCAGGATCAGGGAAGTAAGGGGAGTTGAGGGCGGGGCCAGGTCCAGAAGCAGTACTCCTAGGGCCCAGGGAAGGCACTAAGTTGGTCTGGGTGAAAAAGATCAGGAAGCAGTATTGGTTCCCCAGGTTCCTGGGGCCCCAAGAGTAGGAATGGCGCAGGGCCAAAACTAGGAGTAGAGAACAGCGGGGGAGATGGAAGGGTGAATGTGGCTTGGGGAGTCAAAGCGCGGAGGGCTGCGCTATAGACTTACCCCAAGAGGTCTGAGGATGGGAGTGCAGGCTAGGAGAGTTAGCCGGTGGTGCAGGTCCCAGGAAGCAGAGAGAGGTGAGGGTGGGGCCAGGTCCAGAAGCGGTGCTCCTGGGACTAAGTTGTTCCCAAGAGGTCTGAGGATGGGCCAGTGTTCTGTTCTTAAAGAAATAAGTGAGCCCAGAAGTGGAAGAGGCCTGTGTCCACCCAGCTGCTGAGTCTGTTATCCCACTGGAAAACTTGTGCTTTTCTATGTAGGAAGAAATAAATGGGACAGATACTCTGGGAACATGATTAAAGCCAAACCAGCTAAAATGGAAACTTGGTACACTTTCCTTCCAAGCTCAGGGACATCTGTGTCCATGTTATGTCTACAGCACCATAGGGAACCATGTGTGTCAGTCTGCCTTGTAGGCTAGCATTTTTAATAAAGAAGGAGCTGAACTGCTTTGCCAAGCTTGGAGAGCTCCAGCCAGAGCTGCAGACAAACCCACTTATCACTTCTATACTGGACAAAGTCAATGAAATTTCTATTAATGGGAGAATAGCTTTTATCTTCCTTACTAATGCTCTCAAGAAGCAGATGCGGGCAGATCTCTGTGAGACGGAGGCCAGCCTGATCCTGTACTGGTCTACATAGTGAATTCCAGGCCATGAAGTTATAGCCAAACAAGATGAACAGCTCTAGAGATCTGTTGAACAACATTGTGTCTATAGTCAATAATAGTATATACTTAAAATTTGATTAAAGGCGGACTGATGAGATGGCTCAGTGGGTAAAGACACTTGCTGTCAAGCCTGATGACCTGAGCTCAATCCTTGGGACCCACATGATGGAAGGAGAGAACTGACTCCTGCAAGTTATCCTCTGATCTCCACACACCCATACACATGCTGTGATATGCATGCCCCCTCCCTACACAGACACACACAGACACACATAGACACACACACAGACACACACACACACACACACACACACACACACACACATACTTTTTAATGTTAAAAGGGGGTTTTGTTTGTTTTTTGGTCTTTTTGAGACAGGGTCTCCCTGTAGGCCCAGCTGACCTGGAACTCACTATGTAGACCAGGTTGGCCTTGAACTCACAGAGATCTGCCTGCCTCTGCCTCTCAAGTGCTGGGATCAAAGAAAGGCATGTGCCACCAAACCCACACTAAAAAAATGTTCTTAAAAAAATTTTGATTAAGAGAGTACCTCTCATGTTGTATTCTTGCCACAGTTAAATTCATGTTTTTGTTTTGGAAAACTTCACTTATTTCTGTATATTCACTATATGTGCAGAAAATTACATCTTGAGAAGTTGGTCTTCACTGTTCTATCTCTTACCACCATTACAGTACAAAGAGACTAACACTCTAATCAACACCATACTTGAGGTTCAGCCAAGATCAGCTTCTGGTGGAGAGGGAAAAAGCAATGATGAAATTGTCCAGGAACTTGTTGCTTCTGTCCGGACCAGAGTTCCAGGTAATAAATACTTCTTGGCATCTATATATAATGGGAATTTTCAGGATCTACTCCGAACTAAATGGTAAGCAGATGTTCAGGCTTAATTTTTTCATAAATTTTTCTTTCCCTGGAGAGCTCTTCTCACATGGACCTCTCCGTTTAGAGTCCAGAGGGCTCCTCTCCCTCAACAGTTCACCTGCAAAAAGCAAGGGGAGTCAATGGATTATTGTACTAAAATTCCTTCTGGGAGGCATGCATGGCTTCCAGCACCACCCCCCCCCCCGCCATCCTTACCACAAAACAAGGTATAATTCCTCCAAATTACAGTTTGGAGAACCAAAGAGTTTATTTGGGCTTCCACACAGATCAGTGAGTGGGTGGGGGATTATTTGCAGAAGTGTGCACATGAGTGGGCTTCCCTCCTGCATTGTGGCCAGGACACTGTGACCTCCTGGCGGTGGCCCAAGATGGCCACCCCCCTCTCTCTGCACCCCCCCACCCTGTCTTTAGTCCTTCCCCCATGTACCACTCAGGACAGCTGGTTGGATGGAAGACATGACTGACTCTCTCTGCCCCTCCCCTCCTACAGAATGTCCATAGTCAAGTTTGTTTGTGGCAATCAGAGCAAGCCAGTGAAACTAAGCTTGAGAAGAAGGCATCTGTCCACAGCTTGCCAGTCTAGCTTGTCAGGCGGAAGAAAAGTCCATACAACACTTAACAGCCCGTGTAACTTTAGCCAGGCTTTTCTCTAAGCTCCATGATTCCAAAGTCTTAGGCCTGTGCTATCCAAGCAGTAGCTGCCAGCCACATATGGCAACTTGTTAACCTTAAATAAATTTAAAACAGTGACCTTTATTACACTAGACATGTTTCAAGTGCTGCTGTATTGAACATTTCCATCATTGTTTAAAGTTTTACTGGAGTTCACTTTGGTATTTTCTGCATTCAAGAGAAATGGCTGTGAGTTTAACTTAGCTGGTGAGTTGTGGCATATTCCTCAATGGTTATAAGAGACCTACTATCCCACTTTCCCTAGACTGACAATAGACTTAAGTCCCTAAATCTAATGTTCATGGTTGGAAGTGATGTCATAATAGGAGAAAAAAACATCACCGAGGCAGAGAAAAAAAAAAAAAAAAACATGATGGAGTCCTGCCAGTGCTCATAAGGTCTCAGAAGAAAATGGGTCATGTAACCTCAGAAGAACCCTAATATCTGCCTCCAGGAAGTGGGATCTCAAAACAGAATGCCCACTTGCCAGGGAGGTCTGTTGATATTGAAGCAAACTATGTCAGTTATTTTAGGAAGCAATTTCTCATCAATAAATATGAGGTAGAGGCCTGGGTGGAAGGATGCACAGACAGGTAGAGGGCTGGGTAGAAGGATGCACAGATGTGTAGAGGGCTGGGTGGAAGGATGCACAGACAGATAGAGGCCTGGGTGGAAGGATGCTCAGACAGGTGGAAGACTGGGTAGAAGGATGCACAGACAGGTGGAGGGCTGGGTGGAAGGATGCTCAGACAGGTGGAAGACTGGGTGGAAGGATGCACAGATGGGTGGAGGGATGCAGAGATAGCAGACTTGCTTCAGAGTCCCATTGACAATAAGGAAATTTTTCTGTCCCCACTTCATAAACCTCACACTTTCCCTGTGAAATGGAAGGCAGGCTTCCCTATACTTCATTAAATTTATTCTTTTCCAATGAAATGAGAAGAAGGCCATCTGCTGAAACTGAGAGACAGGAGGTCCAACCCGACACAAAAGAACTGAGGGTTTGAAATTGCCCCTAAGGAGAATGGTACAGGGGGGGAGCTAAAGCCCGGGTGACCACAGTGAACCAAGAGACCAGACTGACCTACACTGATGGGTGATATTTCTCCAGCAATAAAATAGTGAGTGCTTAAGAAGAAATCTGATGCATGTATTTTAGAGCCATATACTTGCTCACACTTTGCACAGATATGTAAGGAAAATGTAGTTCCTTCCCTTTTCAAAACCCACATGGTTCATCTGAGCTGCCATTTGAAGGACTGGGGGTGAGAAAGACCAGATCAATTTTCCCTCATATTTGAACCATATATATTCAACCAGTGTTCTTTGAGTAATACTCAATAACTCTGGATAAACTCTGAGTCTCAGCCTTAGTCTGCCACTCCCACCCCATTTCTCCTAGATGCAATGCAGGTGTGCAGGGAAGAAGAAGGTTTGTACACTCATTAGAGAGAAGATGATGCAGTATTCCCGCCCCCTCTGGCATCAGGAATTATCTCTTGTCTACCAGGTCTCTCTGTAGCATTTGCCACTGGGGTTTTCAGAGTTTTGTAGTCCATTCTATCAAAGCCAAATGTATCGTGTATGAATGTGTGTATGTGTGTGTGTGTGTGTGTGCACATACATGCATGTGAAAGTCAGAGAACTTGTAGAAGTTGGCTCCCTCCTTCCACCATGTAGGTCCCAGCTATTGAACTCACATTTGTGAGTCTTAGCGGCAGGTACCTTTACCTGCTGAACCATCTCGCCAGCGTCAAATGTATCTTCTTAGGTCCCTTGGCCACACTTCTGTGCCCACTGTGTTGACACAAAGCCCTTACTCAAACTTGCAGATTCCACTGAATCACACTGACTTTCATTTCATCCCTTTCCTCTTAGCTGCTCCCCATGAATGCTCAGAAAGGGAGCAGGCTGCTCTTTATTAATTCAAGCCTTCCCTTTCTATTAGTCCAGTCAGTCTCTTTTGCTCCACTAAAGCAACCAAGGACCTGCCTACTCATGGCCAAGCCAGAGACCACCTAGTTCAGACTGACACGGAAGATCAAAATAATCATGAGACGTGAGATGTTGATTTAATTTTGTTTTCTTTTGTTTTGAGACAGGGTCTCCCTGTAGCCTAAGCTGGCCTGGAACTCATATGAAGATCAGGCTGGCCTTGATCTCACAGAGATCTACCTATTTCTGCCTCCTGAATGCTGGAGTTAAAGATGTGTGTAACATACCTGGCCTGGCTTGATTTAATGTTTTATACACACATACACACACACACACACACACACACACACACACACACACTTTTTCCCCTGATACCCATTAATTTAAGCCTTTTGGGGGTGTAACTGCTTCAATATAAACACAGGTGGATTATCCAGAGTTAGAAATAATAAAATACTGTCACAACATAAATGCCACATTTAAACTATGTGTATCTGACTTAAATGACTCAACATTTAAACTATGTGTATCTGACTTAAATGATGAGGACAAAAAATAAGCTTTAGAAAAAAAATATTTTTAAGCCAGGGCCCAGGGAAATGGCTCAGCAGGTAAAATGCCTAGCAAGCCTGAAGATCTGAGTTCAACCCCAGAAACCACATAAAGGTAAAAGGAGAGAAATGACTCAACAAAGTTGTCCTCTGACTTCCACAGGTGTTCCTGGCATGCATGTGACTGCACTTACACATCATACACACAAGCAATAATAATAGCTAAGATCTTTTAAAAGATAAGCCCTGAACTTTTGCTTCTCCTGAATGTGCCTTTAAAGTGCTAGAATTATAGGCCTACAACACCATGCCAGGTAGGAAAACAACTGGACTCCAAATACTGACTCAAGTACTAATGCTCTGTTAACAACTTGTTTGAATGGCTTAGGCAAGATACTTATTCCCCATGGATTTTAATTTCTTTGGCAATAAAAATCAAGGGATTAGAGATCTTAGCCTTTTCTCTTGGATAATTCTACTAAAAAAAATGCTTATGATGGTCCTTTAAGCACAGACATTATTTTTACTTTTAATATCACTTAAAGACATGGAAATAGAACTTATATGTGCATGTAACTCTTAACAACTATTAAACCATAACAAATTGAGGAATAAAAGAAAGATGTCAATGCAATTAAGATGACATTTTAAATAAATAAATAAATAAATAAAAATAAAAATAAATTTAAAGAGATAAGCCCACGACAGTAGCTGTGGTGTGAGAACAAAAATCAAAGATGTTTGATCTGAAAGACTCACTATATACGTTTCAGAAATCCTGCACATAGAGGGTGCTTCCGACAGCCTTTTCGTCAAGGACTCTCGAGGCCGCTTGGACTCTTTGACCACCGTCCTTGGCCAGGAAGTGGACCGGTTCAACAATCTGCTAAAGTTAATACACGTATGAGAGCTCACCTTCCTCATTGCTGCTGGGTAGCCATGCCTCATAAGAGCATTTCAAGAATATGAGTTTACTCAGAATTCTCCATTGCCACCGTTTTCAAAGCTTCTGTTTGGCTATGCTAACAACTCTTTTCAGACCCAGCTTGTCTAAGACTGAGTTGGTATTCCCTTATTCTCATAACATTCTGTGAATGCATGACATTACAAACCCTCAGGCTCCTCAGTGTCCTAATGTATACAGCCTTAGAGTTACCATCAACTCACTAGAAAGTCAGAGGTCTAAGCACTCAGTGAAGAGTGGAGTAGACCATTTGTATCACCTGTCAACAAAGCAACACCTGCAAGTGATCAGTCTGCCTCAATCTTAGACGTTGCATAAGTGGGAACTCAGTCAGTTGATTGTATGAAATTCTAATTTTGGGACTATGGCACCTAGTCAGGCAGGCACCAAGGTCAACAGACCACATGGCGGTGTCAGGACTCCTCACCTTCTGTATCCGATGAATTAGGTTGCAGAGTAAGCCACTGTGATAAAGACCTCAACGGTTCTGTCTAGTGCTGTACATAGTTCATTCTGCTCTGTGAGCTTTTCCAGGGAGAAGCAGGTTGGCTGGCCAGCAGATGGAAAACATCACCCTGTACTGCTCCACATCTCCCAGGACTGCTGCTGGCCTCTGCCTCTTGTTGAGAGGAAGAGGATAAAGAACAAAATTTTTGTTATTTTAGTCTTCGAGAATTTCATACATAAATACGATGACTCTTGATCATATCCACCCCTCCCTCCCTCATCCAATTCCTTACTCCATTGCGCTCCCAATTTCATATCCTCTTCTTTGTTTTTTAACATACAATACACTGAATCCACTTAGTGTTTCCTTGCTTGCATTGATGTAGGGCTGGCCATTGGAGGAGGAGCAACCTACCAAGGGACCCACCGCTAGGAAAAAAAAATTAAAAAATAAAAAAACCAGCTCTCCCTCTTTCAGCAGCCATTAACCGCCTGTAGCTCCTGGACTTGGAGTAGGGGCCTTGAGAGACCTTCCCCCATCCATACTAGAACGTTGATTAGTTGGACCTTGTGCAGGTCTCACGCAGGCTACAACTGTTCAGAGTTCATGGATGCAACATCCCTGTCATCCAGAAGACACTAATTCACAGCCATCTTCCTGGTCCTCAGGTTCCTACAATCTTTCCACTCCCTGTTCCACAATGTTAAGGGACAGGTTTTAACAAGTGTTTCTGACACCAAGAGACCCTCTGATTGTCAGCCAGAGGGTGGGTCTCAAATCTAAGTATCTCTCCTTTCTGCTATAACTTTGAGGAGTGGCCACTCCTGGGTAGAATGGTCAGTAGCATGAGGTGGTTCTCAACCTCTTCCTTCCTCCATATCTCTTATGGATTCTATGGTTCTCAACACATGATCGAGTTCATTTTTCCCTTAACTTGGAGGGCTGATGGACTCCATGCCCACTACTGGGGCCCCTGGAAACACATCTCCTGCTTCCCTTCTCTCCACTGCACTAGGCTCTGCTTAACCTCCTGCCCCAAGTTATACTCCTGTGGTCATATGATATAAAAATACATGAAATATTGAAGAGTCTGGCCCAGCAGTGCACGTAGAGGATGGACCTAGTTGGTGAGCCCTTCACAAGTGTCCTCTCCTCTTGATAACTGCACTCATAAAGTGCAATGATCTTTTTGTTCTCTCAGATTTCCCTAGAAACACTCAACAAAGCCATTGCTGGACTCGTGGTGATGTCTGAAGAAATGGAAAAGGTGTATAACAGTTTCCTCAACAACCAGGTCCCGTCTCTGTGGTCTAACACAGCTTACCCATCCCTGAAGCCACTGGGATCATGGGTCAAAGACCTTATCCTAAGGACTGCATTTGTGGACGTAAGAGATCATTTCTTCAGGGTTTGATTAATTTGACAGTGTGGCTAGCCCTAAGGTCTTGAGGGAGCTCTAACTAGCAAATATTAGGGATATTTGATCCCAGAAAAACAGAAACTTCTAGAATGGCATCACTTTGAAGGTCTTATGCAGACTATAGTGTCATTGTCCCTAGGTTCTTATCTGCACATTGCTTTTCAGTTCCAGGCCATTCTTGATGTTTTTGTTGTAGTGTGTGGGATCCCATCATGAGGTACAGAACAGCCTGGCATGGTGCCACACAACCAGATGTACCTTTGCTGCCCTCAGTGTCTCATCCCCTATCCTAACATGGTTCCAGGTTTGTAGTCAGGCTGCTAGATGGAAAGGGGCCAGTAATATGGGGTGAAGACTAGCTCAGGACTCAGATTCCATCCTCCAAACATAGCTTTGACTTAGAGAAGACACTGCCTCAGAGACAGAGTACATTATAAAAGTGTGTTTCTCCTTCAGCTGTGGCTCAAAGGAGGACAGCCCAAGTCCTTTTGGATTTCCGGGTTCTTCTTTCCTCAAGGATTTCTCACAGGTACTGAAAAATACCCATAAGAAACGTTGTGGTTGATTTCACACAGGGTTTCTAGGAATCAGCAGTGTGGCTGTTGATGGCCTGGCTGGCCCCGCTGATCTAGAACAATCCACTGAAAGAGCACTTTTTCAACACTGGGGAGAAAAAGAGGGCAGAATAGACATGCCCTGGTAACCTAATCCCAGTTCTTCTAAGTGTGGGTTTGACAGGCTGAATCCATCAATGCATAGCTAGTTACTCAACTCCCCATGTGACTTACACTCAAAGGCACCAACTGCTGTCCATAGCATATGTTCCAGCTCTAAGCAGCTTCCTTCCCTATAAAAAATACTTTTTTCTTTGTGAGGTCAAATCTCATGTAGCCCAGGTTGACCTTGAATTCACTGTACACCCGAGGATGACCCTGGACTTCTAATCTTCCTGCCTTCACCTGCCAATTGCTGGGATGACAAGTGTATGCCACCACACCCCAGTTTTATGCAGTTCTGAGAGTGGAACTCAGGGCTTCCATGCTAGGAAAGCACTCTACTAGCTGAGCTACATCCCCAGCCACAGACACATTCTTGCTGTCCCTCTATCAGTCCTTGGGGAATTTGGATAAAGATTCACAGGAAGATCCATACTTGGGGCTTCTACATGCTCAGCCTTCGGTTTTCCTCATTCTTAATCCCTAATAAACAGCCGTATAAACAAGGTGAACAAAGTCCTGAAGTGAGGGAAACTTGCTCTGAAGCTTCTCATGGTTTGTCACCCTCGAGGCAAGACAACGGTCTTGGCCTTCTTTTTCCTTTCTAAAGATTTTGTTTGGTGTGTGTGTGTGAGTGTGTGTGTGTGTGTGTGTGTGTGTGTGTACGCACTTGTATGCACACATGCATTCAAATGGCTACAGAGGCCAGAAAAGGGTGTCAGATTCATTGGAACTGCAGTTACAGGCAGTTATGAGCCACCTGATGAGGGTACTGGGAACCGAACTCGGGTCCTCTGCAAGAGTAGCAAGTATTCTTAACCACTAAGCCGTCTCCTCGGCCCCCGTTCCTCTCTTTTTAATCATGATCTGAACTTACATATCCTGTGGGTCCTTAGCCTCCAGCACCACTCCAGGCTTCTACACTCTATGAACTGTTAATAGCTTGGGTTTCTTTTGTACTACTTTTTCTTACATTTATTTATTAGGGTGTGAGGCTGTGTGTGCCACAGTGCACATGTGGAAGTCAGAGGACAACTTGCCTGGGTTAGTTCTTTCCCTCAACCATGTAGGTTACAGGGATTGAACTCAGGTCTTCAGGATTGGCAGCAGGTGCTTTTACTCCCTGTGTCACCAGCCCCCAGGTGGCTTGGATATCTGTGGAGAGGAAGCTCACTGATGCTAGAGCAGCCTGGTTGGGCTGGGGGAACACAACGTATGTCGAGCAGCAATGTTCTTTAAAGGTCCCACCCTTTTATATTTTCAGGAACACTTCAAAACCATGCTCGGAAGTATAATCTGCCCATAGATGAGCTGAGTTTCAAGTACAATGTGATTCCCACCTACCGGGATCAAGCTGCTGTGATAGAAGCTGCCAAGTCTATGTGCTTTGGAGAAGTACTGCCCATGGACCTGGAGGTATTGACTACCTGATCACATGGCAAAGAAGCTTCTATCACATTGTCATTAGAGAATTCAGCCAGTCTCCCCGGCCCCATTCCCCCACTGCCTCCTATTTGCAGGAGTGGGAGGGTAATACAGTATTCATTCATTCCCCAAGGCCAGCTCCTTGGCAGCAGCTACAAGGGAACTCCTCAAATGTAGCCAGGTTTACCGAAATATTTTTCTGCATCAGGCTAGTTTACTTAGACGCTAGCAGCAATGTGCATCACCTTACAGAGGCAGTATAGAAACAAGAGTTGCGGAATCAGACAAGCTTGGGTTTGAATCTTGGTTTCTCCCTTATCAGCCATGTGTGCTGACGCAGTTGTTCACATATCTGAACTTCTGGTTCTCATCTGTAAAACTAGGCTGATGATGTGATTCTCAGGAATGGAGTTGCACACATCATGTATCCAACACTTGGTATACTCACAATGAGTTACTAGTAAAATCTGTCTATACCAACCACTCAGCAGCCTTCTAGCAGAACCAAAGTGCTGGCTTCATGCATTCACTAACTAGAACACAGTAGATAACTGATGGGCATGTGCTATGAGAGCAGTCTAAAAGTTTGTTTGGTTTGGAGGAGAAGGTTATTACATTTATTTGTTTCTTTGTTTGTTTGTTCATTTATTCCCTTTATGTGTGTGAATGCCAAAGTAGACATGAGGAGGTTAGAAGTCAACTAGAGAGAATAGGTTCTCCCTTTCCACCCTGTATGTCATAGGAACTGAACTCGGGTCATCAGGCTCGGCATTAAACACCTCTACCTCTACCCACTGAGCCACCTTGCTGGTCCTACAAACAGTTTTCTAAAGTCGTTTACTTTCCCACTACAGTGATGTTCCATGTACAGTCCCAAGGCCAACAGAGTCAGCATCACCAGGGAACTTGGGAAATGTACATTTTTAGACCCCACTCCAGACTTCCTGAGTCAAAAACTCTGTGCTAGTGTCCGGAAATCTGTATTTTAACAAATTCCTTTTTAGGCTGGCTTGAGCTCACTATGTAGCTGAGGATGACCTTGAATTCCTGATCCTTCTGTCTCCACCTTCCAAGTGCTAGTATTGCAAACGTCTGCCAGCTTACTAGGTCTATGCAGCGCTGAGGGTTAAGCCTCGCACATGCTGGGCAACATTCTACTGGCTGAGCTTCATTCCCAGCCCTATTTTAACAAATTCTATAGGGAGTTCCTAAATCAAGGAAGTTGGAGAACCACGTCCAAAACATGAGTGATTCTCAGCCTTGGCTCCAGCTTAGGATCACCTGAAGAGCAATAAAGCGCTAATGTCAGGCTAGACCCTGATTATATGAACCTCACAAATCGTCCCAAAAATTGATGCTTTAATAAGAATTCCCATTCTGTGGTAAACAGTCAGGGCTGAGGACGATCACAGTCAATCTGAGTGACCTAGCTTAGCTGTGCTGAGGCCCCATTGATAGGGGAGGATAGCCTCACCCCACTGTACTTTATTCATTATTTTCTACGTGTGCTGTGAAATCAAAGACCTAGTTCAGATTGCTTTTTCCAAGAAAGCTTTCTACACATTGGTATAGTTGGAATGAATAGCTTTCTTAATCTTTCCTTAGAATATCATGGTATTTATTTATAAGACTTGCTCCTGGGTAATTCTGTCAGTACCCATCCAACTCAGATCTGATTGACTTACTCTTTGCTCTGATTAGCAAAACCATACAAAGATCAAATTGACCCCACATTCCTGGTGTGCTCCATGAAATACTACAAGATCCATGCCTCTTAACTACCTATATCTTAAAATAATAGTAAAAAGGCATTTCTTTTAATTTTTGTTTTAGCATCATTTTTTTTTAAATAAGCAGGAAATAAATTTAAATATCCACCCCTCATAATTTTGAGACATTTTTGGTCAGAAGGTGTTGCAGACCCCATGACAGGAATAATGAAAGTGTCAGGTATATAAAATGACCAAGAAACAGAAGTTCGGGGCACCAAAAGGTGAAGTCCAGCCTAATGGATGAATTCACTATAGAGCTGTGTATAGATTCACTACACATTGCCTGTACCATGGGGCTCCTATACCCAGAATTGCCCAGATTTCTCCCCACCCGTGTGTGTGTATGTGTGTGTGTGTGTGTGTGTGTGTGTGTGTGTGTGTGTAAAGACAAGAAAAGCACTCTACAAGGACTAGGGAGATGGCTCACTTGGCAAAGTGTTTGCCATGCAACCATGAGGGCCTCAGTTTGGATCCCCAGCATTCTTGTAAATAACCATGCATGGCAGCAGGTAGGGTGCAATAGAGGAAGAGGCGTGACATCAGTCTCCTGCCTCACCTTCACGAATACATACACACACACACACACACACTCCTACACACAAACAAATACATGCACATACATTACAGGGGTGTGGGGAGAGACACAGTCTGAAAATAGTATTGCAAATACATAATCTGTCTTCTAGAGGGACATCCAGATCCTTAAGGGGCCTTTCTGAGAGTGACAAATAATTTCATCCCGTTTCCACTTCCCAAGAGGAAAAGACATTGCTCATGTCAGATAGCCTAAAGCCTATAACTGAATTTCCCAGGGGCAACCCCTATTATGCATCCTGGTGGGGTATGAAAACTATGAAATTTAGTGTCAAACTGAGGATCAGGTTGTTTTGCCTCTCAGAACCTTGGGGTGCCCTCTCTAAAATGTAGTCATAGAAACCCTTTATTTATTTACTTGGTGAGGAGATGGGACATAGGAGATGACCCAACCACCCATCTCCTTCTCCACCTCTCACCTAAAACTTCGGAATACCTTTCAGCTGCCCACTCCTGAAGATGGCGTTCTTGTTCACGGGATGTTCATGGATGCTTCTCGATGGGATGATAAGGAGATGGTCATAGAGGATGCATTGCCAGGACAGATGAACCCTATGTTGCCTGTGGTGCATTTTGAACCACAACAAAACTACGAGCCAGTCGGAACACTCTACCACTCCCCACTCTACAAAACAGAGGCCCGAGCAGGGACTCTCTCAACCACAGGTGAGGATATTGTTAAGATTTGTACAGATAATAGCTAAATAAAAACTTCAGTTAAATCCAAATGCTGGACTGGGGATGTGGCTCAGTCAGTGAAGTGCGTGGAGCCAGTGGAGTGCACAGAAGTCGTGTGTAAAACTGGGTGTGGCTTCACAAGCCTTGTAATCTCAGCACTCAAGAAATGGAGTCAGAAGTTCAAGATCTTCTTCAGCTACATAAAGTTTGTGAGGCCAGCCTGAGTTACATGAGATCTTGTTACAAAAAGAGATGCTGGGCTGGGGATGAAGCTCAGTGATCAAACACTTTGCCTGGCATGGGTAAGGTTCTAGGTTCAATGCCCAGCACCAAAAATGGGAAACCCTGGGACTGGAGAGACAGCTCAGAGGTTAAGAGCGTAGGCTGCTCTTGCAGAGGACTTGAGTTCAGTTCCCAGCACCCACGTGGTAGCTAACAACCATCCATAACTCCAGTTCCAAGGGATCCAATACCCTCTACTAGCCTCCTCAAACACTGCACACATGCAGTAGGTACACTTACCTACATTCAAGCAAAACATTCTTACACATAAAAATAAGTAAATAAAAAGTTTAATGAAGCCCCCTGCAAAACAGTGCTAGCTGTAACACGCTAAGGAATTTATTAGTTCAGTTAACTAGACTTCAAATGGGGCCACCTATTAAACACACACTTATAAATGTTGAAATTGTATTTGTTCTAACACTGAGAATACATTGGTATCATAAACTTGGTGCTTATTTCTATTAGATTCTAATGAACAGAGCACAAGAGTTTATTGAGCACAGACTTCCAGCTTCAAAATGATAGACTGAAAGACACTAAAATCACTCTCACCAAATACACTTTCACCCATCATACCAAAGAGATTTAAAAATAAACTAAGTGGAAAGCTATTCCACAAATCTCTGAGTGGACCTGGACCTGAGATGCAGTCCTGAAAAATGGAGGATGAAATGAAAAAAAAAAAAAAAAAAAAAAAACATCTCTACAGATAACATGAGAGACAGGGGGACAGTGAGATGGCGCAACAGATACCGTGCTTGCTGTCAAGTTTCATGACCTAATTTTGATGCCAAGATCTATATGGCAGAAGGAGAGAGCCAACTCCCACAAGTTGTCCTCTACATACACACCATGCCATACACATGCCCAAATAAATAAATGTAATTTTAAAAATAAAAATAAAGATATTTTTTAAAAGAAGAGAAACAGCTAAAGAATGAGCTAGGAAAATCCCTCAAAATACAGCACAAGATGGGGGACATGTGACACTGGAGGAGGAGCTGTAATTTCCCACATTTACCTAATCCACAACCTAGGATGGGAAAGTAAGAATGGAGGAAAGGTATATTTAAAAAGAATAACAGCTGGCTAGATGTAGTGGCACATGCCTTTAATCCTAGGACTCAGGAGGCAGAAGCAAGTGGATCTCTGTGAGAGCAATACCAGCCTGGTCTACCTACTGAGGCCCTGGCCAACGGTGGCTACAAGGGAGACCCTGTCTCAGTACCCCCCCCAAAAAAAAGAATAACTGATGGGTTCACAAAGCTAAAGAAACCTTAGATTCCAAGATCTTATCAAGTGGTAGGAATGCTCTTGAAAATGGCAGCTGCTTAATACAGTAGTTGAAGGGATACATGGATATTTACAAAGTTCTAGTGTCCAGCACATAGTAAATGTTAAGTAAATAGCATATAGAACAGGTAGTTATGATACAGATTCTTAGTAGATTACTGGTAAGGTCAGGGAAATCCTTTATCTTAATGGTAATTACTCAGAAATAATGGCCTGGTAGAGGCACCTGAACACAAACTCTGTTTCTCCCCTTCCCCCTCAGATGTGAATATGAACTTATGGGTGACAAGAATTATAAAATATTTCACTTAAAGGATAGACTGTTTACCTAAATTCTTTCTTAAAAGTATTATAGTCATGATATAGCTCTGATACAGCAAGTGCTAACTTAAGTATGAAATGGACAAACTTTAAGCAGTTGCTGTGTGCCTCAGATAGTAGCACTAGGAGGGTGTTGGACGTCTCTCTATGTAGAAAGGCAACCTAACCTCATAGAAAAGGTGTAGTCTCTGTCCACTAATTCACATCCAGCTGCAGGCAAGGATGGCATCGATTCAGTAGTGTTAACATGCCACCAATATCATACTGGTGAAATGTTAGGAATTCTAATTTTTTTAAAAAATCAATGTCAGAGTGATTACTCTAACCCCTGCAATTCAACATTGTACAGAATGTCTTAGCCAAATCAATAAGACAAGAAAATTAAATGAGAATTTAAAATTGAAAAGGTGAGACCAAATTGTTACTTGTCACCATAACTGGTTACATGGAAAACCCAAAGTACCAAAAATCTACTAGAAATGATGGATAGTACAGAAGCATTAACCAACAGGAAAAAGCAACAGAATTTTTGCTAGAGTCCTTACTTGTTCAGTGTGTTTGAGGTCCTAAGTTCAATCTCCATCAGAAACAAATATAAATAAAATGAAGTAAAAGGTTTCATTCAAAATTGATCATATTAGGACCAAGCTTGACAAGGAGGAAGAAGATAGCCTTTAGGAAACTTCAAAGCATGCTACTGAGGGCCACGGTGAAAACACTTGAGAAAATGGAGGTGCTGGATGGTGTTCGTGAGTGGGAAGATTCAATATTATCTAGAGCCCAATTTCCTCCCAAATTAATCTCTGAATTTCAAATCTCAATAAAATAAGTATAATTGTTAATAGAAATCATTGTTCTGATACTCCTACCAAACAAAGAATAGCAAAACTATTTTAAATAAAATAAAACAAGGTCTAATTCTAACAAATATCCAAAGATAGCACTTAGAATGAATTTACAACCCGAACAAAATTCAACAAATAGATGTGCTATGGGAAGCCCAGAAACATGCTGTGGATATGTGGGAACCTGACATAAGAGCAGCACCATTTAAAATGCAGAAATTATCCCACAAATGTGCTGGGGAAAATGGTTATACTGCATTTAGAGACTTAGCATATATTACATACCAAAAAGAGTTAAATCAGAACTGGAGAGATGACTCAGTGGTTAAGAGCATATGCTGCTCTTGCGGATGAATGGAATTTGATTCCCAGGACCCACATAAGGCATCTCACAATGACTTGTAACTCCAACTTCAGGGATCTTATGCTCCCTTATGGCCTCTGTGGAAACCCCCCCACACACACACACACACAAATGTGTACATACACACATGGTACATACACACATGCAGACACACACACAGACACACAAATAAAAATAAAATTTGGGAGGAACTGGAGATGGTTTAGTAGTTAAGAGCACTGGCTGTTCTTGCAGAAGACCTGGGTTTGAATCCCAGCACCCACATGGTGGCTAACAGCAGTCCATAACAGTTCCAGGAGACCTGGTGCCCTCTTCTGTCCTCTGTGGGCACTGCACAACATGGACGCCCTTACACACATGCAGGCATACCACTCATCCACATAAAATAAAAATAAATAAATAATAAAAATAAAAGTCTTTAAAGTTAAATCATTGATGGATACTTGTTTAATCACTAAATTTTTAAAAATGTTAAAACCCCTAGTGAAACAATATCTTAATGTCCTGACCAAAAAAAAGTCAATCAGATATAAGCAACCCTTCCTAATGGAATACATGCCATCTATTAAATGTTCTTATTTTTAAAATCCCCTCAAACCTGAATGTGAGCACACCTCTAGATCTAAACCCTCCTTTACAAGGATAAGAGAACATATTTAAAATCACCGTGGGGGAGGGCAGCCCAGAGAGTTGGCTCAGCAGCTAAGAGTACTTGCTGCTCTTCCAGAGACTCCAGTTCAGTTTCCAACACCAATGTTGGACAGCTCACAACCACCTGTAACTCCAGAGGTCTAACACTCTCTTTTGTCCTCTGTAGGTACCTGCACATATGTGGCATACACTCACACTCACACACACACACACACACACACACACACACACACACACACACACATACACATAAATAAATAATAAAAATAAAAATAAATCTTGAAATGACCACATCAGTAAAGTCCAAATGCTGAAAAACTTAACAGATCAAACAACTTGGTTGCTTCAACAAATATATTGCAAGGGGTAGCAAAAGAAACAGAGGCTCTTACAATTCAAAGAGATTTAAGACACACATCACAGCTACAAGGTATGGCCTTTATTTGAATTCTGAATCAAACTAATTGTTATAGTGTATCTATACTGTATGTGTGTGTACGCTAATTAGGGAAATTAGAACGGTTATTAGGAATTAATATTTTAGTTATGACAATGTTTATGTCTTTAGGAGTTGTGATTTAGAGATACACAGGAAAATATGCATAGAAGCAGGTATGATGGCACACACCTTTAATTCCAGCACTTGGGAGGCAAAGGCAGACAGATTCTCTGACATCGAGGCCAGCCTGGTCTCCATAGTGAGTTCCAGGCCAGCTGGGGCTATAGGGAGACCCTGTCTAAAAAAAATCAAAAAAAAAAAATATATATATATATACATTATCTAATATTTGCCTCAAAATAATGTGGTAGGAATGTGAGGAAGTATTTGGGATGTGAACTGGATACTAAAAGAACATTCATGTTAGCCACGAAAAGAAAAAATGAATATGGATAAAACATTAACAGCAAATCTAACTGAATAATCAGTGCATTCTTAAAATTTCTCATTTTTAAAGCAATATAGCAATGCTGTTTAGAAGCTAGACCAAACTAATGACTACCTCAAGTCTCTTGTTAGCTGTTCTGTGTGAGGAAAGAGGAAAGCAGACAGTGTGGCATTGTAATGAGTTAGTAGAGATCTGACTGATCCTTAGATGCAAAATGCATTCTTTCCCTGAGGGGCAGCCCCACCCGCCTTGGGCTAATCCAGCTAGCACCTGCAGCAGGCTCCGGTCCTGCCTGCAGGCAGCCAGCTTTCCTTTGACCAGGTTCTATAGTTCTAAAACCCATTTAATCCCTCCTTAATTCCTCCACCCAAACACCCTGACCCTCTGCAAAATACAGTCTTTATTTCTATGCCCTTTTCATTTATTTTTTCAAGATTTATTTTTAATTATGTGTGTTTGTTGTGGAGGTATGTACACTGGAGTACAGGTGCCCTAGGAAACCAAAAATGGTCATTATAATTCTCCAAATCTCACCACTGCCTTCTAGGGCTTCACTGTGTCAGATAATAACCATTTCCAAGGGGCAGATGATTGGGATTGATGTGTGCATGGCCCGTGTCACAGGTCCACTTGAACTGAAGTCCTGGAGGGTTGGTGTCAGAACTCTCTGGAGCTGATGGTTACAGCTATTCAGTGTGGGTGCTGGGAGCCAAACTCTGCAAGAGCGGTAATCTTTCTTAACCACTGAGCTATTTCTCCAGCCCCCCTACATCCTTTCCACGCACACACTCCACTGCCCATAGCTTTCTAGTCATCCTGCCTCCTTCTGCAGTAAGGAGCCCATCTTTAATTCCTTTAACATAATCCACTGCACAACACCTTTATGCTTGCTTAACCATCCTGGTTTTGTCAAAGGCACAGAGCCTCTGACACCAACCCTCCAGGACTTCAGTTCAAGTGGACGTGTGACATGGGCCATGCACACATCAATCCCAATCATCCACCCCTTGGAAATGGTTATTATCTGACACAGTGAAACCCTTAGAAGGTGGTGGTGAGATTTGGAGATAGAGAATTATAAAAGGCAACTAAATTCATTACTGGCCAATAGAGAGTTGATTCTGGGGACAATGCCACCTTCCCTGATGTCCATACAGACGGGGCTGCTGAGAAGGCAGTGCCATAGTAGCCACTCCCTTCTGAGGGCAAGATCTTCTCAGCATGGTCCTGATCCCCTCAGACAGCCACACAATGGAAAGGCTGAAGAGTGACTTTTAATATTGAATGGCTAAGAGCTGAAGACAGAACCTGTGACTGCTCATTCATTTCAGGAGCCCAAGCCCCAACCACTGCAAGATGGAATGAAGGATGGGTGGGCGGGTGGATAGATGGATAGATGGATGGATGTGTGGATAAGTGCATGGATGAATGGATAGATGGAGAAATGAGTAAATGAACAGATGGATACTACCATTAGAAGCCCCTGAGTCCAAGGCCAGCGTAGTGGCACACACCTTTAATCCCAGCACTCAGGAGGCAGAGGAAGGCGGATCTCTGTGAGTTCGAGGACAGCCTGGTCTACATAGCAAGTTCCAAGTCAGCTGGGGCTACAGGGGAAACCCTGTCTCAAAAAGACAAAAAAAAAGAAAGGAAGGAGAGAGAGAGAGAGAGAGAGAGAGAGAGAGAGAGAAATGAAAGAGAGAAAGAAAGAAAGAAAGAAAGAAAGAAAGAAAGAAAGAAAGAAAGAAAGAAAGGCCCCTGAGTGTCGGGCCTGAATGTCCAAATCTTCTAGATTCAGACTACAGAGAACTTGAAAGAAAACTCACAAAGTTGCAGAGTCTAAGCTGGACAAGGCTCTAAAGTGCCATTTGTTCTAAAAATCTTCATTCTCTACAGCATAAAACCGAAACCCTCAGGGAACTGTGCCCAACATCTTCAGGGACAGTCAGGCCTGGAATAGAGTCTCTTACTTCTCAGTATGAATCCAGAGATTATTCTTTAAATAATAACTCTTCTCCCCAATCCCTACCTCTCATATATTCCTAATTAGGCCATTCCACCAACTTCGTGGTGACTGTCCTCTTACCCTCCAAGAGGTCCAAGGATTACTGGATCGCCAAGGGATCAGCATTGCTGTGCCAACTGAGTGAGTGAACAAGCTGCCCTCGGTCCCAGAGAGTTTCCTGATACAGAGTTTAATGGATTTATACATGAGAGAAACGTGTGACTTCTGATTCAACATTGGTAGCAGTTGCAGCTGTTATTTCTCTTATGACTTAAAATAAAGTGTCTTTGAGTTCTTGCTATTGGAAATCCAAGCTATGGTGTGGAGGCAGTAGGTTCACACCCAAATACTCACTCCTTCACCCCATATAAAAGTCAGGCTGTTTCTCCTCTGTGTCCTACTGGACACCATGGGAAAAACCCAGTATTCAGCCCCTCATCCACACACTTTCCATTCCCCATCACACTCATATAAAAGGCCCAGTGTGCACAGTAGCCACATGGCCATGGTTACTTCTATTTCTAGGCCAGATTAAGGCTCCAAAAGCCCAATATGTAGAAAGTTGGTCCAACAACAGCAACAGCCATCAGACTTCCAACCTTTTGACATTGTGACAAGATGTGGTCATCTACGTTTGCCCTCAAGAACCATACAAAAAAAAATCATGGTAGTGTGTGTGTGTGTGTGTGTGTGTGTGTGTGTGTTCAAGTACACACATGCTTGAACTTGTGCATGCATGAGTGACTGCCACCATGCACATGTGACCATCAAAGGATACCCTCAAGTGTTAATCCTCATCTTCTACCTTGTTTGAGACAGGGTCTGTCTGTGTGTTCACTGCTAGCTACACCAGGCTAGCTGGCCCACAAACTTCTGTCAGTCTCCTGTCTCCACCTCCCAACTACCTGTAGGGGCATGCTGGGATTGTAGATGCATGTACTACCATATCCAGCTTTTATGTGGGTTCTGGGTATTCCAACTCAGGTCATCAGGTTTGCATGACAAGTGCTGTACCCTCTGGGACATCTCCCCAACCCATCATAATGTTATAAGCAAGTTTATGATTTTGTGTTGGGTCACATTTATAGCTATCCTCAGCTATGTGCCACCCCCAGGCAGTAGGTTAAGTCACACCAGAGGCAATGCCCATGGTGCCAATTCCCCTACTCTATAGGGCTATATTAGAATACTTGGAAGGGCTGGTCCTTGTGCAAGTGCAGAGGGATTTCCCCCTTTTACGTTCTGATGAAACAGTGTAAAAACTAGCCAAGTCCAAACAAGGTACATCTGAGTTTCTGTTCCCTCAAAGGCAGAGGGCCTTGGGCCAGTGCTATAGTGGACCATCCCTGTGACAAACCATTGTGTCAGCACTGCCTAAAGAGTTCTTGTTTCCTCAACCATAACATGACCTAGGAAACTATAGAGCCACTCAACTGTGATGTGAGCTTCTAGAGAAAGTCACACCAGCCCTTTACAGAGAATTGGAGGAACAGGGCCAACCACAGAGACCCTACTGTCTCGTTTCACTTCTGCCTTCAACCTTCACCTTCATTCCTCTCAGAGTTGAAAAAGACTCAGCCATGAAGAACAGAGAGTGCCAGGGTCAGTGCACAAATCAGAAACGACCCTTTTTAAATATTTTAATATGTATTTATTTTTGGTTTATGTGTATGAGTGTTTGCCTGCATGTATGTATGTGCAGGAATACATGCCTGGTGCCTGTGGATGCCAGAAGAGGATATTAGATCCCCTGGAACTGGAGTTAAAGATGATTGTGAGTCACCATATTGGTGCACAAGTGCTCTTAACCACTGAGCTACCTCTCCAGCCCCAAGATTTATTTTATTTTTTAAGTTATGTGTATATGTAGAGGGTAGGTATCTTCACATGTGAGTGCAGGTGCTTCAGGAGTCCAGAAGAGGGCACCAGGAACCGAACTTGGGTCCTCTACAAGAGCAGTGCCAACTCTTAACCACTGAGCCATCTCTCCAGCCCCAGAAACCACTCGGCATTTCAAGCAAAAATAGGTACTGACTAAGGCACAAGATGGATGCAACTGTGGAAGTCAGAGGGTCAGTGTCAGGCACCACAGCTGTACCCTTAGTCAGAGAGATGTAGAGACTACCAGCCTCATAGCTGTCCCGCACCCATGAAGCAGGTGATCAGAGTGGGCTACACAACCTGGACACGGCACACACATATCTGCCAGAGCCTGCATGTGACTGCAGCCAAAGCCGAAGAAAAAGACACCGTGCCCACTCCCGCCTTCCAGAGCTCACTAAGTGCAGGCTCTTTGCAAGAATCTAAATTGTAGCGATAAGGAAATCCGCGGTGTGGAGCTTCCTACCCCTGCAGTGTGGGGTAAAATGAAGGCAGCAGTCATGGATACTGAGTGCCATCACTCTCAAATAAGTCCACGCACGATGTCCAGGAAATGACTGAGAGAGAGCCCAAAAGAAAGTGAGTCTCCAAAGGGGTTGAAGAGATGGCTTGCTGTGAAAACATGAGGACTTGAGTTTATATACTTCAGTTTCTCAAAAAAATAAGACAGTGATAGAGGAAGACACCCAAAGTCTACCTCTGGTTGACATGTACAAGCATATACATGCACAAGCACACACACACACACACACACACACACACACACACACACATCAGGAAAGTAAGGGAAGCCAGAGCTTAAAATCCTGGCAATCAAGCTATCCTAAGCCAGGTAGGAACAAACAGTACTACATCTTGGCCCTATCCAATTCTAGACAATCTTCTGAGGTTTTATGAACTACTCAGAGGTCCAGAAGGAGCGCAAGGGAACCTACGGGTGGGAGATGCTGGTCTGGAACATGGCACTAGAGGGAAATGAGCTACACAAGCCTCCAATGTCCCATTCCAGACACAACCAGGACAATATAGACTTACTCATGTCAAAGAGACTCCTCCTAAGATTGTATTTGGATGACATAATGTCAGTAAACACGTAAATACTAAATAACAAGACAAGGGACATGAGTAGTGTGAAAACTGCTTTCTTGTACAACCCCTCTGACAAAGCCAGCCCTTCTCCCAGTCTCTAGCTCGTCAGTGAAATGCTTAACACATTAAACATAAGGAAAGTAGCTGTGGAGCCTGGAGAGTAGCTACACACCACACTTGGAATAAGGATCTGCACAGCCTTCTAACAGTCCTGCATCCAGAACCAGGTGCACACAGGGAGGAGCGTAGCAAGAAAGAGAAACGGGTCAGGATCCAGAGTTGCAACTGAGTAGTATAGGGCCCATGATGGATGCAGTGGTAGAGTTCAGAGGATGTGAACTACAAAGTTTATTCATATATTCATGTCATGAAAAAAATTCTGCACAAAAAGGTGGGTTTTTTTAGTATTTTATTTATTACTCTTATTTTATGTCTATGAGTGTATTGCCTGCATGTGTGTAAGTGTACCCATGTCATGCAATGCCCACATAAGTCAGAAGAGGACATTGGATACCCCTGTAACTGGAGTTATGGATGGTCGTTAGCTGCCATGTGGGTGCTGGAAACCAAACCCAGGTCCTTTATAAGAACAGCCAGTGCTGTTAACCACTGAGCCATCTCTCCAGTCACCAAAAAAGCGTTTTTTTAATTATGTATATGCTTGTGTATCTGTACATGTGAGTGTAGTATTCTCAAGGGCCAGAAGCAGTATCAGATTCCCTGAATGGAGCTAGAGTTACAGGTAGTTGTGAGCCACCCAAAATGGGTGCTGGGAACCAAACTCAGATCTTCTGTATGAATAGTACATGCTTTTAACCACTAAGCCATCATATCTCAAGCACTGTGTTTATTTTTATGCAACTCTTTTATAATTTATTATTTTCTTACAAATTATTATGTCACATAATTGTCCACCCTCCACCCAACACTGCTGGATAGCACAAGTCATTCCTTGGAAAGAGAAAAATCACCAATGGGTTTTTTTCTTCAGAAGTCTCTTCTCTTGCCAGAAAGGACAGTACACACCTACAATCCCAATACTCAGGAGACAGAGATAGGAGAATCCTAAATTCAAGTCCAGCCTGATCTACATAATGAGACCCTGCCTGAAAGAAAACAAAAATTATTCTTCTGGATTGGAACTGTCAAGGGCAGACCAAATTGGGAAGTAAAGGAAAGGCTTTTACTTAAAAGTCCGAGAGATCCAAGTCTTGGCCTGGCTCCTCCAGTCACTGTAGAGTATCTGTTCAGAAAGGCAGCACCAGCACCCAGAACACAGGATACAGAGGGACAGTGGGGTGGTTTGCATGAGAAATGTCCTCCATAGGCTCAAGTATTTCAATACTTGGTCCCATGTTGGTGACACTGTTGGTATGGCCTTACTGGAGGAAATACGTCACTGGGCTTGGGCTTTGAGAGTTTTTAGCCTTGCCCCACTTGCAGTTTGCTGCTTCATGTTTTCTGTTGAAGATGCAATCTCTCAACTTCCTGTTCTTGTAGCCGTGCCTCCCTGACCATTATGGACTCTCCCTCGGGAACTGTAAGTTAAAATAAACTCCTCTTCCCTAAGTCACTTTTTATCACAACAACAGAAGAGTAACTAATACAGGCAAAGCCTGCTAGCCACCCTCTTGGCTATGATAATAATGTCCACAGTAAGGAAGCCACAACTGGGGTCAGGAAGATGGACCTGTCCAAGATGAGGACCCAGGGTTGTAGGATCACAGCACCAGGAGACAAAGAGAAAGACAGAGCCTCAGGGCCTAAGGGAAGCCACCACAGATGCCAAGACACCAAAGCCACCCAGTGGCCTTTTACCTCTGCTCTTTGAAGATAAAGATCTATATTAGTGTGCTAAGAGGCTTCCTGTATCTCTGGTCCTCTTTGGTGTTTTGGGCCACTGCTACCAAAAAAAAACAAGTGACAGGGAACATTAGGAGCCTGGCCAATCCTGCCCTGGTTCAATGATTGTTAAAATCTTGCTATGAGAAAGGCCAACTTGGGTTGGAGAGCTGGCTCAGCCATCAAAGGCTCAGGCTCACAACCAAAAAGACAAGAGAAAGGTCAACTCTAGAGTTTGCACATCACTAGCCTCTGGCAATCAGTCACAGATCCTGCTCTCTGACCACCACAGACCACAGCCAGGTCATAAGGATTCTTCCGTGTCTCTGCCCCTCTC